GCTGGAGACAGGGCAGGGGGTGCGGGTACAGCCCATGCTGTACAGTAAGTGCCCCCTCCCCCACTGGGGTAGCAGCAGCAGCCCAGGGCTCGGGGGCTATTTAAAGGGCCCGGGGCTCCCCTGCTTCCACCGCCCCAGCCCTTTAAATAGCCGTGGGAGCCCTAGGGAAGCGGTGGGGCTCCAGCGGCTATTTAAAGGGCCAGGATGGTAGAAGCAATGGGAGCCCCGGACTTTTTAAATAGACTCCAGAGCCCCGCAGCCCTACCCCAGGGCTCCAGCAGTGGGGCTCTGGTGGCAATTTAAAGGGTCTGGGGCTCCAGCCCCTGCTGGGAGCCCCAAGCCCTTTAAATTGCCCCCTGGGGAAGCCAGGACACCCAGGTACATCACCCCAGCTCTTGCTCGTACACCCTACCGGGGCTTGGGTGCGGGGCCCTCTTGGGGCGGGGCCCTATTCAGGGGAATTGGTTGAATTGGCCTAAAGCCGGCCCTGACACTACACAACTCGCTAAAAGCATCCCCATTTATTTAATGTGCCAGTCTGTAAGGAAATATTTTTACTGTGTGATATATTTGCTTGGTGACATAAATTGCTGTGTTGGGTGTACATTTTGAAATGATTTCGTTTACAGTTCAAAAAGATGTTTGCAGGTGCCATGAGTTTACATATGTACAGCCACGGTCTGCTCAGATTAACCGCTACAAAATTAGGGCATAAGCTTTCGTGGGTAAAAAAACCTCACTTCTTTTACCCACGAAAGCTTATGCCCAAATAAATCTGTTAGTTTTTAAGGTGCCACCGGACTCCTTGTTGTTTTTGTGGATACAGACTAACACGGCTACCCAGTGGCGTAGCCAGGTTCTAAGAGCAGGGGGAGCAAACATTAAAAAGGTGCCCCCCCTTGGCTCCTCCTCCAGCTGCTCTACGCCGCCCCCCTTGGCTGGCTCCTCCTGCCGTGCTGCGCCCCCGCTCGCTCCTCCGGCCGCGCCGTGCCCCCGCCCATGGCTCCTCCAGCCGTGTTGCCCCCCCTTGCCTGCAGGAGCCCAGCGGCAGCCTGGCAGGCCAAGCTTCAGAGCGGAACGTGGGCCCCG